AGAGAGAGAGAGAGAGAGAGAGAGAGAGAGAATGGAGTAAACAGTATTTTAAACGCCGTGCTGTCGTTTCCAAAAGGTAACTGCTGCCTTTTCCGGAAAGACAAAATCTCGACATAAAAATAATACGCAACGACCACCGACTTTGTCAGTAAAGATAACCTCACGTAACCGCCAAACGTACCGGCAGGTGGAGGTAGATGGGATTGTTAGCAGCCTTGAAGTCTGGAGTTTTCTAGAGCGACTTTTAGAAAAACCGGAGAAAAGAAAACGGTCGGTCGGGGTACAACAGTTAAGTGTGCTTTATCAATGTGCCAAGTACGAGCGGATTAGACTGAAGGGGCTGGCTGTCAAGTTTACATAACGTGGCTCTAAAAACCCTGCCCCAGGGGGTATTTTCTCCAATTTTGTTTGAATAGATAGAAATACATTGACACTTTAACAGCCATTGAATCACAGAAAAGAGAAAAACAGATAGAAACGGCAGAGTGAGAGTAAAGAAGAAAACTTGATATGAACAATCTCCAACCACCCTCAGCTCCGGGGTATGAAAAGAAGATAAAGGAATCCCAAACGCAAACAAAATTGAGCATAAAAAGAAAGGAAAACGACCAGCTTTCTAAGCAGCTGATAAATCTTCCATTGATAACACTTATGACAACAAACAAAAAATCTTCACTACTTCAGAGGCTCCGGGAAATTTACATTGTAAACAAATCAGCTGCAACCTTTTGACTTTTTTTTGGTCAATTCCTAACCTGGGTTACGTGAGTGACTGTCGCGTATGTGTGTCCGTTAGGTCCCATGCACACAAGAACAATTTCCACGCGCTGTACGGCTGCAAGTATGCAAATGAGGCAGTTTTCACCTGTTCGTCTATCTTCATCGATAAGTGGAGTCATAACTTCGCAGTCGTGCCTCGAGTTGAAATGTTCCAGGCGTGCTTAGGACCCTTTTACATTATAGATTAATTTTCACTTATAGCGCGACTGCAAGTATGCAAATGAGGCAGTTTTCGCCTGTTCGCTTCTCTTCAACACCAAGTGGCGTCAAACGTTGCAGCCAAACGACGAATAGAAATTTCGCTTGTGTTTCGCCTGAGGTGTGGGAACGGAGAGTGTGGAGTCGAACCTGCTCCAACGACCACCTGTATAAGACAATCACCTGTACAAATACAGTCAAACCTGTGTAAGACGGTCATCCATTGTCAAGAAGAAAGTGGCCGTATAAGACAGGTGGCCGTCTTAGGCAGGAGTGATCAAGATGAAGAAAACAAAATATTCCCATCTGAAGTCCCAATCGAAAGTGGCCGCATTGTTGTTGTTTTTGTTGTTGTTGGTTTGTATTTTGTTTGTTATTTTTATTTTGTTGCTGATTTTGAGCAAGGGTGACAATAAAACGAAATGTGTCAGACGCCGAAGACCGAGTGCCATGTTAAAACAAACACATGGGTCTCCACAACTCAGAGAATGAGCGACGCTTCTGTCGCAAGTTCATGTTGACAACCATTGTTACTTTGTTACAGACTGGGTAAACAGTGACCACTCATCTCACGTACGATTTGTGTATGAGTTCT